CGCCTGCGCACCCGCCGGACCGAGGGCGCGGGGCTTACCGGCCTCCCCCAGGGCACAGTCCCTGAGACGGTCGGGGGGCGCCCCGGGCTCCCAGAGGGCTGGAGGGGGCCTGCAGAGGAGCAGGCCCTGGAGGCGGCTGCAGGGGGCAGGGGTGTGGCCCTGAAATGGGCCAGGCGAGAGGTGAGAGGAGAGGTATCCCACTGGCACCTTCTGCCCCCGGGCCTGGGCAGAGCACCCCCCCCAGGTTATTCTGTGTGCGGTCAGCAGTGTGGCCACAGCAGGAGGCCACGAAGTACCACAGGATCAGCTGGCCTCCCTTAGCCTCAATTATTTCCAGATATGCCCACTGCCACCCATCCCCCAGTGAACTGGGCACAGCCGGGCCTGGCTACCCCAGTGGCCTGGGGACAGAGCAACTGGTGCCAGCTGGGCGCACCCAAAGCCATCAAGGTCTGGGGTTAGGGAGAGGCCACCAGTGGGTGGCATGGGCGCAGGCCAGAGGGGTACCTGGGTGCTGGGGGCAAGCAGCCCTTCCTAGGTGGGCGTCCCAGCTCCGGGGGCACAGCCCTGCATCCCCCGTTGTTCCCAGGGCATCCCAGATGGGCGGGGCCCTGGGCCCTCATGTGACTGCCCCAGCCCTCAGGCCTGGCGTCCGCGTGGTGCTGCCAGCCCTGCTGTTTGTCAACAATCACCCGAGCAAGGCTGCAGACAGAAGCTCTCCAGGGGCCCAGCTGCCCGCACAGCGTGTGCGCAGAAGGCACCCTTACCGTGCCACCTGCAGTCCCCACCCCAGGACAGCCAGCAGCTCTGCAGTGTGCCCCTGCCCCTCTCCCGGCCTCTCGTGGGACCCTGCAGTCTCGGGTTGGGCTGCTTCAGCAAGCGCGTCCGCCCACGGTCCTTGGTGTCGGCTGCGGTGGGTAAGGGCTGGGAGGGCCCGCCCGCAGGAGGCTCGAGGTTTAACACCTGCTTCCCAAGGTGCCACTTCCCATACCCGGCGCCACCGGGAGAAGCGTGAGGGAGGGAAAGATGGCAAGCCCCGAGGGTGCCCAGAACAGACAGCACACACATGGGAGAGCGTTTTGGGAAAAGCGCAAAACCAGAAAGGTGATGGGAGACGTAGCGGCGGCTGGGTGGGGCAGCATGGGGGCCGGAGCCACCCCAGGTCACTGCAGGCGGCCTGCCCACCTGCCCCGATTGAGATACACACTGGCAGCAGACAGAGGTGGCTGGGGAGAAAATATGTACAGCCCGCGCGCGAGAAAGGTGGTATGGATACGAGTCGGTCATCAAAAACCTCCCAAAACAAGTCCAGGACCAGATGGCTTCACCGGTGAATCCTACTAAACATTCAAAGAAAAATTAATAATTAATCCTCAAACTATTCTAAAAAAAAAAAAAAAAAGT